GTGTGTGTGTGTGTGTATATATATATATATATATAATAAAAAAACATAAACAAGTGTAATGTTTCTCTATGATGAAACATTGAAAATTTGTGTAGAACTTGTGGTGACGAGGATTTTACTGACTCATTGAAAGTTGACTCAACAACTTTCCGTGTTCTTAGATAGTCCAATTTATCAGTACGTGGTGACACACACCTAAATTTATATCTGGTAGCATCATAGTCTTGCAAAAATATCAACATTGTTATATTAAACATTTTTGTGTGTTCTTCAGCATGTGACCTGGTAAGCATGGGGCATTTTTTTTGTGAATATATTGGTCAGTTTAACTAATCATTATTGTGAAAAATTAAATATAATAATTAATATATGGGCTTGTTGTATTATTTTTCCTTTTTTCATATTACGTTATAACTTTAACATATTTCTTCGTAAAAGATTATAAGAAAATATGGCAGATGTTGTCTATCATAACATCTTCCAGTAATGAGGTAAAATAATCTTGATAAACTTCATAAAGCATTAATAGTAATTATCCCTCCTTTTGACCAAGTGAAGTTACAAATGTAATCAAGTAAAGATAAGGAGGGTTTCAGTATTTTGTCTTTGTAATAATTTTCTTTTACAGTTTTATAATTCTCACAGTTTGAAGGTATAAAAGCCAAGCATTTTGTTTTTTCAAGTTAATTTACTTTAATGTTTACGAGAAGTAAAATTGTTAAGAACATTCTAGCTCTGTAAAATTGTTTCTTGGTCGGTTCCTCAAATATACTGTTTACTTTTTTTATTGTAGAAAAACACAGAGATGTCCACCTGGTGGCCTTTTGGAAAACTCCCAATGCACACAGTTTTAATCATTGCATTGTGGCCTTTATTGGCTCAATGGCTCTTGGTAGTTATTCAGAAGAGACGTCATAAGTAAATCCACAGTAAATAAGAAACTTTGGATTAGGTACTGATCCTGCTTATATTGTATTTGTGTATATATATGAATAGATCAGGATGGCAACCAAAGTAGTGAATAAAAGTTACAATATCGGAGGGTCTGTGTAATGCATCACACATGAGGATTCATTAGGAACATTTTTCATTTTGTTTAATCATTCAATTTCAGTAAAATTTACTAAAGAGTAATTAATTTTTTTAAAACAATAGTTTGAATATTCAGTGATGTAATAATAGCTACATTTATTAATGGCGAGTGT